TTTGACTGGAAATTAGACTAGCAAGAAATCGACCTCACTTCCCTCATTTTAGACTTGGTCTCTAAAAAGCCGTTCAATCTCCTTCAATATCTTGAACCAGTCTGAGAATTACTGTAAGGCACATAACTGATATAACAGAAATCAAACAAATAGACACAAATACTAAATACCAGAGTCCTTGCAGATTTTAGTGTGTAGCAAATGATTCTATGATTCTGTGATTCTATGATTCTATGAAATAGTTCTGTTTCTGTCCAGTAGATTGTAGTAGGAAGCAGCACTTACAGTATCTGTGGCCCAAAATTCTGCAGTACAAACCTCTTCAGTTATGGCTGACATTTGAAACTGTTAAGGAAAACTATGCTATCAGTTTGAGATCAACTGCTATTCTGACTAACAGATTTTCTATTGACAGTGGATAATTTTGAATATTTTACAAGTGCACATAACAGTATCTTTCCAAAAGTGTCTGTCAGATCCTCCAATCTGAACAAACAAACATCTAAATAACTTTCCAAATAATCTTTAAATAGACCTCTAGTCTTTGCTAGAAATGATGATGTGTATTTTCAGGCCAGAGTGCTTTCTTTCTCGAAGTTTTGAAGAGTTAAGGGAGTGTCATAAACACAACCACTATTAGGTTGCAACATTCTCTGTGGCTTTTTCTAATATACAGTGACCTTTAGTACTGTATTTTTCACTTGTTCCCTTACCTTAGAAAACTTTCAACTACGTACTTTCCTTTCAAAATTTGGCCAGGCTTCACGTTGCTACTGTTAACATAACCTTAGGCACATGTTGTGAGGCTTGTAGTAATGTCCTTTATACCTGGGATGTCACCCATTCTCTCACCTTCAGGATGGTATCAGGAGATCCATATTCCTCACTCAATGTGACTGTGAAAGACAAAGTCAGGAGTCATAAATGCGCAAAGTAAGAGATAAGAAGTTAAAAATCAGAAGGAGAGAAATGAAAACCATGAGATCTAAAAATCTTCATGTGGTGCACATCTGTCACTTGCTGTGGATGTTCCTACCAAATAGCCTCTCGGCCCATTTTTCTGGGTGTACAATCCCCTACAGACTTGCCCAGAAGGGCTATCTCTCCTGTATGTCACAGTAGTACTTTCCCTTTGGTCTTGCAGGTCAATATGTATTAAAAATAACTTAGAGAGACAGTGAATCACCAGGAACACAGAGCCTGCAGTTGTCACTTAATTTCTTTTCACTCTTCTGCTAAAGATGCTCAGGAATTTTAGGAAATCTCCATGGGGTGTAGTCATGGTTACTTAATTAAAAATTTAAACTTCCCTAAAAAACTGAGGTACCTGCTCAGTTGATGGATATTTTGGTCTGTAGCATATTAGACCTATACTTATCAACTTCAAAAAGTTGTTGATTAGGGCTTGTGTTCTCTTGGTCCCCTGGTCATCTCTTTGGAGGTAATGTTACAGTAGATAAGACTATCTTAGTTGTTCAAAATAGTAACAGCAGACACTGGGAACATAACCGTGGCCATGGAGAATTATTAGAGCTGATTTCATTTCTAAAGCAATAAAGAATTACTTATTGGTTAAATGGCACCTGCAAGTGTTCACTTCCCAGGCAGACTGCAAAGCCTCGTTAGTTTGACAGAGCACTGGAAAGGTACACTTGTTTTATTTGGATTTATAAACTCCAATCAAAACTTGTAACATGCTCTGAGTGATCATTTTGCCATTCCTTAAGAACAAAACGCTTGTCTCACTCAAGAGAAATGAATAAACTACAAGTGTTCTAAAAAGGATATTGTTTAGGAGAAAAAGGGCATATTTATTTTCTGAAAACATCTTTCTGCTGTTGCAATCACAGACACACATCGTATGTTCTGTGCTACATCTGACTGGCACAGGGTAGGCTGATAACCCTGTTGACAACTCAGTCAGGTTAGTAGTATATATTTTATCTGTTTACAAAAAGCAACACAAGGAATAGCAAGACATTGTTCTGCTTACATATCTGTTGCACTGATACTGTATCTTCATGAGATAGTATTTAAGAATGCCAGCTAAAGCATTCTTAATAAAGCCAACTCAAAGTATGAGATAATACTATGTTGGCAGAGCTTGGTGTTACTCAGAATAAAACAGTGGCTGAGATGGCTGACTCACACCAATAAGGACGTGGGAGACAGGAGTGGTCTGAAACATGTAAGAAAAGGAGGATGTGGCAAGGCACAGGCAATACTTATGGTACATGAAATCACTCCATGATTTTCATTCGTCAGTTATGTGCACAATACAGTTTTGCAACACTGCTGACTCATATTCAACTTGCCATTGACCAGGACCCCCAGGCCACTTTCTGCGGGCTGCCCTCCAGCCTTTCTTTCCCTAGCCTATAAACACAACCAGGGTTGGCCTGTCCTAGGTGCAGAATCCAGCACTTGTCCATGTTAAACTTCATATAGTTTGTGATTACCCTGTTCTCTGATTTGTCAAGGTCTCTCTGCAGGGCATCTCTGCCCCTGAGGGAGTCGACCACTGACCCCAGCTTGCATAATTTTTTGGAGAACAAATAAAATAATACTTTTCCTGCATCATCTCTCTAAGGGTAAATGTGGCCATTTTGTGAGTCTGCACAAATGTAAGTGTGTACACTGTCCCTGAAGATATTCTCCCTCCACCCTTCCTGGGTTTTGGCTGCCAGACCCTCTGGACCTCCTTAGACACAGGGTGCAGGTGTCTGGTCTTGAAATGAGCTGTTGCAAGAAGCTGCTCTGCAAGGTCCCAGTGGGACTCCCTGCTTAACTTGGGAGTAGCTTTTAAGTGAAGGGTCTCATTCTTGGGGCACTCCTGCAGTTGACCTGCATGTGGCTGTTTTCCACCTTGACAACTTTGGACTTGCGTCAGCGCTGAAGACTTTGTCTAATGATCTGGTTGACCCCGTTTTCTATCTCAACAAAGTTACACTTTTGAGCTGTTCTTCATTTCACTTTCTACCAACTTGTTTTGCCACTCAGGCTATCAGTGGCTGTGGGACATTGACTTACCTGTGCTTACATCCTAACTATGGAAACCTTAATTTTTAGATACCATGGGAGACAACACACAGGAGAAAACAAACCAAAAACAAACAAACAAACCAACAAACAAAACCCCCAGATGGTTTTGGTCCTGTATAAAATAAAACTGCAGTGATGCTTTCACTAGCAAGCAAATTGGGAAAATATCTGATCAAGCAAGTAAGATTGCACCCAATAAATTTGTGCTCTGAAGGTCTTGAATAATTAAATTCCAATAAGTAGAATAATTATGTTTCAAGATACTGAAGAGAATTGCTTATCTATGTTAAAACTGCTTGACATAAGCCACTTGAGAAATTGAAGTAATTAAAAAAAACCAATACACCAAAACAGAGAAACACAAAATTGCACCAGGTTTCCAGACCAGATCCAGGTTTAGGGTATAGCACTTTGCCATGTCTTAAAAAATAGACAAAAGTAAAAACATTGAAAGATATGTACACTGATTAAGAAAAGCTGCTACAAAGAAGCCATGCTGCATGTACCGAAACCAAGAAGTCTTGAAAGGCTAGGGTAAGATAACCAAATATATTTAGTTCAAAATATATATTCATTTCGGTAAACTGATATTATTTCAGTCTGACAAGACACAGATAAATGTGACCTGTCACTGATTATTTTGATTTCTTTGGATTTCAAGGATCAGAATTAATTACTAGAAGTCTTACAGCGCCAAGCATATGTGCTGATGATACTCATAATTTTTTTAGAAATTATAAATAGGTCAATTTTAGGGGAAAAATTGAGTTAACTTTGCTGAGCAGTGCAAGGTTGCTACAGAGGCACAGGCCACACTGCAGGCATGTAGATAACTGCATTTACAGCCATGAGAGGCAGAATCCCCTTAGAAACATAGCTGGGAAAGGAGATGGAGCATTTCAGCAGTGGATGCTCTCACAACAAAAGGTGCGTTCTGATTTGGTTGCTCTTACAGAAGTACCAAACTTGCTTCTTGTAGGTTAATGGGTGAATAGAGCCTGACCTAGATGTCAGTGTCAGGATCACTGGGAACTACTCGATGGGATTATCTGTGAGGTTTACACTTGCCAGCTAAACAGAGCCAAGTCAGGTTTAGCTAAGCTGCAATCATCACAGCCTTATGTAATGCAATACCTTTCATGTCTTTACTAAGGTTATCTGCAGAATAGTCAATCATGTTAAAGTAAGCACTCTGTCTCGATGCTTCATAATGCATGACAGCTTGCACAATTAGATGGAGAACAAAATAATTAACACCAGCATATGCTCTCAGCTGACTGGTTCTGTCCTGACTTAAAATGCAGTTGAAAATGTTGACTGGAGAATAAGATATGTACAAAACTACTGGTAGAATGAGTGAAAGCAAATTTATTGTTATTTATATATCCATATATTTCAATAGTAAAAGGCACGTGCAAGATTAAATAAATATATAAATGCCTAACAAGACATTTTAGATTGTGCATAATGAAAAACATCATCTTCATGGCTAGGCTTCGCGAAGATTTGAGAAGGGCTCTACTCATGCTTGCTGCAAGCGCGCTGATGGCTAAAAAGGTCAATGCGAGATAGACAAATCCGGCTACAGAAGGCACAGCGGAAAGACTCCCCAGGTGATATCGACAAGACGCGATTCTTTCTGCGTTGTCTTTTCTCCTCGAGAGTGATCCTGCGTGTGTTCTCAAAAGAAGCAGCAGCGTTATAGATAGTGAAAAACATTCGGATGAGAAACCACAAAGACCGTGGGACCTCGTCTCCGCTGCAACCCCAAGACCGCCTCCCCCGCCCGGACTTTCCCCCATATCTAGGAATTCTTCCCTGTACCCCTGCCCCGGGCTTCCCACCGACCGCTCAGCTCATCCCAGGCCATCCCATCCCTCTCCTCCCGCGGCACCTCCCCGCCCTCCTTCGCTCCGCCTCCGCGGGGCGTGCAGGGGAGCGGCCGCCGTCCCATCGCAGCCTGCCGAGCGGCCGCTCGCCGCTCCCGGCCCGCCCGTCCCCGCCGGGCTCTGCAGGTGAGCGGGACGAGGCCCGGCCGGCGCGCCGGGGCTGCGGGCTCCGGGCTCGGGCGGTGTCAGGGAGCGGGGAGGGGGCGCGGCGGGCCCCGTCCCTCCCGTGTCCGGCTGATTCACCGCGGGCGGCCGCTCCCCTCCCCCTTCGACCGGGGCGCGCCTTCCTTGGGGCTGAGGAAGGGCCACACTGGGGCCAGGCGGACGGGCTCGGTTGGTCCGGTTTCAGCCTAATTATTGTTTCCATTAGGGCGAGCACAAAGTTGTGTGGTGCGAGCGCCAGTGTGCCGGGTGCTGCTGTTGAGCGGGGCTTGTCCTTGCTAGAGAAAAAGGTGGAAACGCAGGGAGGGAGGGTGGTGGGCGCGGTGCCGAGCGGGCGCTGGAGAGCCCTGGAAAGGCGCGGTGTCCTTGGCATCCTGCTCGCGATTTGCCCGTGGTCTGAGGGCTAGCGCCCTAGTGCCGCAGATAAGGGAGGGGATTGGGGCAGGGGAGCGGAGTGACACAGGTACACGGGGAGAGTCGCTAAATCTGCGCCGCCGCGCCAACAAAGGTGACACGGGTGACTCGCAGCTTCGTGGTTGTGGCCCCGTAACCGGGAGGAGTTTCATGTCTGTAGAAGTGTGCACGCGGCGCAGCATCACTGGTGGGTTTTCGTGTGCGGAAGCGAAATAGTTGTGTGTATGTGTGAGAGAGAGACTAGTCCGTGTTGCCCGTGTGATTCTAGCCTGGGAAACCTGTAAAAACCGCAGTCAGTGCAAGCTGCTTTTGAGATGCAAACCGAAAATGTAATGTTTTGTTCAAGGCATGACAGGTTTACTGTTGGAGAACGCTAATTAGACTTCTTGTAAAAGGTGGATCAAGATTTTTGCATCATTTCGGAATTCCCCTTTCTTGCTTCATCTTTGCACAACTTTGCTCTTCTGCGCTATGTTCTCTGGTTTAAAATAGAAAACCTAAAATATTACTTCAGCTATAATCCAGTTATAACAGAGCTGTAGTAGCGTTAATGAAAGTGTAACAGGAAGCACCTTTTTTGGAAAAAGTGCAAAGTAGGATCAAGACAAACATCTCATTCTTCCTCTTAACCTGGCAGATTGTCAGCACTTAGAGGGCAGTCTGCAGTCTAGGGGATGTTCCACTACAGAGCACTACTCATTTCCTTTTCACATGTGTAGGAGTGTAGCACTGAAAATGGAGATCTAATGCCTTCGTTCTTCTTTCATTATGTTTTCCTGAGTGTTGGACGTGTTCAGTTTTCTGGATCTGCAAGCTCCTTTATGCGTTTTCTGACCATTGTGAATGGATGTTAAATGAAACGACTCTTGTGGGCTTCAGTGGTAATTAGCAGGTTCTTTTTCTGTTGTAAGCATATCGATATAAACTAATATTTGCCATTTTAAAATAGCACAGGTAGTGTTGTAGGTGAGTATTGTGTGGATCTCTGTTAGTCTAGGAAATGTAGATTTACATGATTACACAGGTATTGGGATCTGTCATAGCTGTGAGTGAGCTTGAAAGTTAATCTGAGGGCTGTTTAAAATTCTGAGGTGTTACAGCCCTGAATGAAGAGCTTCTCCCAGGAAGAAATCATTATTCCTGGCTAAACAAAACTGTAACAACCGAGGCTTTATAGTGCTGAGAACCAGAATGGAAACTGTTCCGTTGCCCAAGCTGAGCAACACCCTTTTTTTGTTTCCCCTCCTAGCTGTGAGATGTACTCCGCTTCTTTCATCGCTTGCGGTGCTTTTCCCTGGGAACTTTTGTTCGGCGCTGGCAGCGCCTTCCCGGCGCGCGTGGAAAGGCCTGGAGCGGCCGGGGGCGCGCGGGCGGCCCGGGGCGGGGCTGCGGCGGCGCGACCTTTCACCCACTTCTGGGGCGCGGTCACGTGAGCGCGCGCGGGGCGGGGCGGGGCGGTGGGGGCGCGCCGGGGGCGGGGGCGCGCCCTGCGGAGCGGGGGAGGGACCCCCGATCCCCCCGGTGGGAATCCCGGGGGCCGGGGGCGGAGCGGCTCGCGATCCCGAGAAGCCACACCCGAACACCGGCGCGCACGGGCAGGGAGGGTGTATCTGCGGTAGACAGGTTGCTGAATCCCAAGCCTCCTGCTGAAAATCTTGGGTAAAAATCGACTTGGGTAAATGATTGTATTGAAAAGCCAAGCAAACAACCCTTCCCCCTCCTCCCCCCCCCAAAAAAAAAAAAAATTAATCACAAAAAAACCTCCGGCCAAACAACAAAGTGCAAAACTCTGTGTGTTCAATATTCCAAAACCATTGTCTTTGTTGTGCAGCATGCACGGGTATCATAGTCCCGAACTCCACATGTGCGGAAAAACAAGATCCAAATGACTGAAAAGCATCCCTCTTTCTTCAAGTCTGGGTTAACTTTAATATGAATGGTCAATTTAAATATTTTTGCGAAAGGTTTGGAACTGATTCTTCAGTCTTTCAACCTTATACAGGGTGAAAGACCTTAGTCAGGTACAGTAAAATGTCATTGAACTACATGAGAGCAATTAATTCAGTTTGCTTTTGGTCACCACACATTGTTTGTTGACCATCTTCCAGGGTCTCCTAGATCCTAAAATGTGACATCTTGTATGTCTCGTAAAAGTCTTACCATTCCAGAAATATTTGTTGTCATAGAGAATAATTCTTGCTTACTGCATAGAAGCTCATTAAGTTCAAAGGGAAAGAGAAGGGATAAAACTTGTATAATCTAAATGCCTAGGTATATCTTTTATAGCAGTTTAAAAGAAATATCCAGATCTAGAGCCTAGTTTTTGTGGGGCGGGGGAGGTTTCTCCATGGTATGATAACTGTGCAGTGTTATAGCAGAGTTTGCTTCTCTCAGTAAGATTGTTCTGGATTTCTAGAAGGTCAGAGGATGTAGCTTGCTGGGGTGTGTACAATATAACATGCATTGCATTAAATACTTGAATGATGCGAGAGACCTAGGAACAGTGTGGTATGTCCTACCCGGTACAGGGGAAAATCCCTAGAAATAATACAACAGTTATAAAAGTTTCTGTTTTGATGTGAAGAGTGCTGGTGTTTTGTGTTTGTTGAGGGGGGTGTTTGTTTATTTGTTGAAGTGTACGTTTTGGAACCATCTTTCACAGGAGCATGCTGTTGGGAAGAGAAAAGAGCTGATAAGATCCAGAAACTGTAGGAATTAATATTCCTTTGAGATAGCCTAGTAATTAATTAACACATTGTTCGCTATAGCCAATCTCTTCTACTTTGCCTGTCTTCAATTTGATCAGGTGAGAAGACAATATACCAACTTTCTCCTGAAAGTGTCAGTGACAAGTCTGTTCTGTGAACATCTCTCCAAGAAACCTGGATGGCATCTGTGTTGAGTCTCCTGGGAGTGTAAAGTCAGCAGGTAAACACTTAGTTGGATGTCTTAAAATGAAAGCTAAAACTAATATTGAAGACTGGCCCCTGAACTCCACTCACTTGTCGTGGTAGGTAGTGGTCACAAGCTTGAACCCTCAGAAATGACTGAGTGGGTAGCACATGAACTTTCTCTCACTGTACAGTTCCTCACCATCTCAGTGTAAATGGTTTCATACAGTGTAATGGAAAATAATGTTTGAGAACTGCTCTCTGTGACTGTTTTCTCCATTGGCGTCAATTTTTCTGAAATTATTCCAATCTGATCTAGTCCCTCTGAGCAGTTGAAAGCTGTATGTGAATTAAAGCTCAAACTGCTTTTCTGGGCTTTCTACTTGAGACCTGCAGCTGACTGTTTGACATTGCTGTGTAATATCTGTTAGGAGCTAGGAGCATTGGCATGAATCTGCCTCTCAGTGTGTCCTAACTTACTCAAGATCCCAGCTGCAGTGAGCTTCTGGGACAGAAGATTTGTATGTGACAAATTGATCTCAAATTGGCTTTTAAAGAAGAATTCTGTATTTTTCGTTCTTTGGTGTGTTTGTGAATCCCCTGCATCCACATATACCTGTTGCACCACTTCACCACTTGGGAGAGGGATAAAGAAATGGGCCCAAGATTCCGAGGGAGATACCCTCGGAGGGTAATGAATATTCACCTGCAGGTGATCTTGGAGAACTGCTGAGGCCAGGACACAAGCTGTCAGTGGGACAGCAAGTTGCTGCAGACTTCTCAGCTGTTCTAATTTCAAACTGTCTGCTGTGGATGACTTTTGCTGTACCTGGGAAAATACATGTGTTGAGTTTTCCACCTTGTCTTGAACCACAGCATTTGTTCATTTTTTAGATGTGGGAAATCCTTAGAGACGTTCGCAATTCCAAGAGGCCGCAGCTGTCAGGTGTAGGTGAGAGTGGGAAGGGTTGGAGCCAGTGATGAGCAATAAGCAAATAAGAGAACTTGCCACAACTAAAGTGGCATGAGAACACCTGTCAGTTTAACTTTGTTTTCATCAGATCAAGTGATCTGATTGATTGAATGCTATGCTAATCCAACTTTTAAAGGAGAGTGATTCTTTGGTTTCTGGGTTTTTTCTATGCCATAGTCATTAGGTTCACCTGAGAAGCTCTATTGAGTAAATTTAATCCACATGACTAATTTTACATGGAAATTGTTTGGCTTCACTCCTCAGATTTCTCATAATGATTTTGTGTCTATAAAATATGATTAGTCATTGTAAGATAGCTTAGTTATTGGGAAGAATTGAGAGCAGCAAGTATCCTTGTTGTCTTATACGTTGAAGCCTGATTAGATATCATTGAAGGTCAGTAGGTAAGGAAGCTATTTAGAAATTGAAGTTCTCAAGTGAATAACTGTGTCTCGTTAATCTTTATAGTAAGTTCAAAAGTCAGCACCTTGTGGAATGTCACATGAGCTACAAATAAACTTTCTGCTCTTTCCGAGACTTTGGTATCTCAATACCTTTTTGCAGAAGGGCAGTATACGTGAAGAATAGCCAAGAAACAGGTATGAGAGAGACTAGGCAGTCTTTTTGGTCATATGTTTAAATGTTTGAGCTGCATATTTTATACTGTTTACTGAAGGTTTTGTAGATCCAAACCTGAATTTCCTTTGAAAGTTATAAAACTCCAGACAAATTTGATGTTTGTTTAGATTTCCATTGAACTGAATGCTTTTTCTTAAGGTTTAGTTATGATTTTGTTCGACTATGCATCAAAGGAGCACCAGGAGTTCCAGAAGCATTTTTGTTATCCTTTTGGCATTCTCTGGTTAGCTGTCTTATTTAATCAAGCCTCTTGCATTAGAGTAGAATTTTGGCATTTATGTGAGTGACTGCCTCCTCTCCACTCCCTGACATATGAGCGGATGGCACCTTGAGTTACTGAGTCAGTGCTGGATGCTGCTGTATAGCACATGTTTAGTGCCTGAAACTGTTGCATTTGTAGCATACTCCATGAAAACAGTTTACTGAAGTCATGTCAGTTTTGTTAGTGATAATACAGACATTTTTATTTTGATTCGAACCGTCAATATTTTGTCTAGATAGGGATATACACGTAACATTAAATTTCAATCTTATTTTTTATTAGGAGTTTGTAGGCTTTCCCACCATATCACAGCAAGATATGTGACACTTAAGGTTAGCTCCAGAAATCTACCTGCTGCCTTCAGACTAGCAGACTTTCACTGGACAACATAATGGTGTTTAAAACACCAACATGCATTTTAA